TGCCAAACTTGTTCAACTGGACCTGACTAAAACCCAATGGATCAAACTCCTCTCATAAATTCTTCTCTGCTACCTCCTCAATATGCTTCAAAGTTTGTGACTATTATTAAGTATTGTTTTTCTCTCAGTAGCCACAGTTATTCAACAGTTCTTAGCTGATTTTACATTTGGCATATTTTTCATCCATCACTCAAATGTACATGCAGGTAAAAAGCATTTATGAGATTATTGTCCAAAGCCACCCACTGCAGGCATGTAGTGTTTTGAAATATGCCTGGAATTGAGTCATTATATCTAAACCAATAATCTTGTTCAATCAACCAGCATTTATTTGAAACGCACTTTTCACACAAACAACACAACACAAAGTGATTTATAGAATGAAAGCAATACAAGTAACACCCCACCCCTCCATCCATCCCTATCCACATACAGAGCAAAAAAAGAGAAATACCAGGAACTGAGGAAATATTGTCGGAAAGCTCATAATTTTGAAATGAGGACACATCAAAGGCAAAGAAAGTTAAAATGATAGAGATAAAATAATATAATACTAAAAAGGTAAGTACATAATTGGATGAATTAAATATGATAGAAAAAAGGGATATATGTCTTAAACAACATGAGATATATAAATTAATAGATCGAATCCCATTAAAGCCCAAATTCAAAGGTAGGCTTTGAGTTTGCCATTAAAAAATATCAATATATTGTTTACAGTCTTCTCCGGCTCTTCACTGTTTACTTGACCGGGCTGGCTGAAACGCTATTACGCCATCTATTGGCTTTTAAATGTACTACTGCTAAATGTGATTATCCTTCAAAATGTTTCCTCCTAGTTAACATTTATTTAATAATAAATAAATACACTATAATTATTTTTGAAAGTTGATTTAGGTTAAATTCAAAAATAATTGGTGGTTAATTCATCATTTCACAAGCGTTTCAAGTCTGGAAATATGAATTATTTCTCATTCTAAATAATAAATACTCTACAATGGTACATACTTATACTATAAGCACAAAAAATGCGAGTTGACATTAGTCATTAATTGCATGGAGCAGGTGAAATGGATCACATAGGGTGTATTTCTGAATGTATTGCTCTGCACTGAATGAGGATGAAGATCTGTCGAATACACTTCAGTTATATGTAATGCTCCAAATGTAGAAAGCCATGAGTTTACTCTTCACTGATTACTGGTAAAAGTAGATCATCCCTGCCGAAACCCGGGATCGAACCAGGGACCTTTAGATCTTCAGTCTAACGCTCTCCCAACTGAGCTATTTCGGCCTGGAGGGAGAACATAGGCAGTACTAAGGAATGGTAACCTTAGAGGGCACTCTCAAGTTGATTTCAGTAATGATTTTTTACAACGTTTTTGAGAGGAACTCATTATATTTCTTTTTTTTTTACCCAGCAGAGGGCCTTCTAACATAACATACAGTGTAGGCGGGTGTGTTCCCAAACTTGAGCTGTTTTTGCCCCATTAATCTAAAAGCTGCTTCTTAGAAGGAGCAAATAGCATCATGTCACACTCCAGTTACAATGTGGTGAAGTCAACTGATAGCACTATCACTGCATAACCGTAATCATGACCAATCCATCCCTCACCATAACCTCAACCTAACCACAGCTGTCATCTGACCTTTGGTCTGGGCTTTGGTCCCCGTGAGGTCCACTGGTCCATGGTCAGTGTTAATGCTGGAAAAGCTTCTTAAGAGACACACATATTTGGTTTAGCATTTAAATCTACTGGCATTTTATCCATTGACTACATCATAATGACATTTTTATCTCACCACAAAGTCTCATGAACCAGCTCAAATTCAGGATTAAATTGAAGGAGACCACACAGATAGTTAAGGATTTTAAAGCAGATGAAATGTAGTTAACTCATAAAAAATCAAAACTCAAACCAAAACCCTGCATGTTGAGATTGAAAGAACTGATCTCTTGTGAATTCACTACTCCCAACCCTCCTGTGACACGCTGACTACATTTCCACCAAAACTAACACTAAATATTAGAATGTGTGTTGAGGATTTCAGTTTTCAAAGGTACACAGTATTCATGAATAAAGAACACATTTTGAAATATATTCAATCTGTGGCTTTGCTGAAATAAATAGATGAATAATTTAATTATAAACTTCATTATTTCGGTTATTTGATCTCTTTTATATGTGTACTTTAAGAACTAAACTTATGTGTAGGATTGTCTGGGATAGCGGAAATATACAACATTTTTCTAGGTAAAATTCCAAAGTCCCACTGCCGAAACCCGGGATCGAACCAGGGACCTTTAGATCTTCAGTCTAACGCTCTCCCAACTGAGCTATTTCGGCTTATAAGCGATGCGCCAGCAACACTGAGCAGTCGGTGTGTTAATGTGGATTATAGGTTCGTTTATTTTCAATTAGTTTAAATATGTTTAATATTAAAGTTAGTGGTTCTCAAACGTTGGCACATCAAGGACCCCTAAAGTGACTCACATAGACCACACCCCCACATTTGTTAAGAGATATTTACTGTGTGAAATTCAAGAACAAAATAAAACATTTTGGTCTTGAATGAAATCATAGTGAACATAAATGTTTCTACTTGTATGTAGTCTACTTAGGTCTGTATAATTAAAGGTGTAATGTTCCCCTGCAGACACCCTGGATTAAACCAGGGACCTTCAGATCTTCAGTCTAAAACTCTCCTAACAGAGCTTTAAAAAAAAAAAAAACGCATTATCTAATCCTAACGTCAGAGGGCGCTCTCTACTTGCAAAATATAAGGCCCCGTCTGCCTTAATGGGCTGATTATTGTCAGAACAATGTTTGAAGTTTTAATGTTATTTCATTTTGAACCAGAAGTTATATTTAAATGTAAAGATCGTGAAAACGAGCAGTAGCAGCGGCCCGATTGTTCTCTCTTGGTTTTAAGTGCTGCTGAATGACTTTGCCCTGCAGGCCTCATCCCACATACATAACCTTCCCTTTCCTATACTGCAGAGGTCTGCATCGCCTCCTCGCCCACGCAGCACCAAGCCCACGTTTAGTTTTCAAAAAGGCAGCTTTAGAATTGGTGTGCATAAAGTGCAAGTTGCAGGAAGGAGCAGGAGAGGAACACTGCCAGGTAAGCAATGATCAGTGCCTACTGGGAGCACCTACATTCTACATGGATGCACCCACAGAGAACAGTCAAGTGTGGCTTCTCCTCACAAAAACAGTTTAACAGTGAAGTTTGATTTGACTGTATATTACCACCTACTTGCTATATCATAAAAAGGCAGAGTTCTGGTTGTTTTAAGTAAGCACATGCATGAAAACAGTGTGTATCCTGTGCAAGAAGGAGTCACAGGCCACAGAGAATTCCAATACCAGTGCTTGTTAAATTGCAGCAAGGTTTGGTTGTGTCCAAATGGTGTTGCTTAGCTTGGCAACTATTTAGGCCTGGCTCATTTACAGTGTAAAAAACAACCTGAATTAAATAAAATGATCTTGAACTATCTTAAATGATTATCTATGGATAATTCATGTGCATTATACGTACAATAACTATACAGCAAACCTATGATAAAAACAAGCAATACGATACAATACAAAGCCACAAATACAACTAGATCACATAAAATGTAGTAGAATGTTTTAACATGATCATAGGTTTGGTTTGATTTAAGTTTGCATCTAATAGTCAGATGATTACTACTGTTTCTTAAAGGTTCAGCGTGTTAGATTTTAAGTGAAAGGGATCTATTGGCAGAAATTCAATATACAACAATCCCTATAACTATATCACTTCATGCATGGAGTCCAATCTCTATTCTACACTGTGGTCGTTCAGTTTGAGAGAAGTAAATCCTGTAATGCGTTCCCTCAAAGCCATGAATCCTCTCTCAAATATTCCCTGTTTGTAAATTAGAAACCATTACCCACCCATCATGATAACCTTTGAAACAGAGCCGTGCACTGACACGCTCAAAGTTAGTGATGGGCTCATGGTACAAGATTTCAAAACAGAATTTAAGCAACAGAATTTTTCCAGAAGTGACCTTAACCCTGTACTTTATTTTCACCAGCTGGGCATCCAATGTGTGATAGCATCCATTAAATGTTCTTCTTAATGATGGCCACTGGCAGCCCTTAAAAAAAACAAACCAACTAAGAAAAGCCTTGCCTTGACTAAAAAGGCACATTGGACATTGAGGGGCTGATCACCCAAATGTCCCCTCCTGCATGTGCCAGTCAAAGGTACATTTTGAAGGGGTTAAAACAAAGTTACTAACTATAAAAAAGGATGTGTGCATTTGTGTAGCAACAGCATATCTGCAGACAAACAGATTTGGAGCAGTTGGAGCAGAGAATATTTGCATATAAGCAAGGGCTATTTGAGAGAAATGACAGGGGTTTGAAGAGAGAGCGCTGCAAACTGAATGTGAAATGAAGAAACAATTCTCTCAAAATGAAAGCCCATACTCTCTACATAAAGATAGGGAAGAAACTCCATGTGCGTGTCACTTTGTTGTCCTCATGCAGGTCCCTCATGCGGGTCCCTTCACAACAGGTTTCCTCCAAAGTCAAATTCTTCAAGGGAAAAAAAAATGCAGTCATTGCAGTTTCACCCCAGGCCAGGGGTTACCAAGCTTCTTTTTTTTTTTGCAGTAGTATATTTGGTAGCTTTTTAATGCAGTAACTGTACCATAAGCTCCAACCAAGAGAATATATACATTCTAAGG